GAAACACCTAAACCCTAAACCCTAAACCCTAAACCCTAAACCCTAAACCCTCACGGCTTGTTTTGCTTCTTTTAGTTTTTCTTCTGCTGCATCCTCTAATGCCTTTTGTTTCTCTCTTTGTGTTCTAGATACAAATTCATCTTGCTGCTGCTGCTGCTGCTGCTGCTGCTGCTGCTGCTGCTGCTGCTGCTGTTGGTGGTGCTGCTCGTGCTGCAGTTGCTGCTGCAGCTGCTGCTGCAGCTCAGCAGCAGCAGCAGCAACTGTCTCCTCTGTGTCTCCTAGGGTTTGTATTGCACCCAAAATAGAATAAAAAGAAGAAACAAGAATAGCTGCAGCAGATGTATCGAGGGCCTCTGTAGCCTGAAAGGAGACAAAAGGAGACACAAAGAGACAGAAAAAAAAAGAAAAAATATATATATATATATATATATATATATATATATATAAAAAGAGACAAACGGAGACAGAAAAAATAATACATAAAAAGAGACAGAAGGAGACAAAAGGAGACAGCAAGAGACAGAAAAAATAATAAATTAATTAATTAATAAAAAGAGACAAAAGGAGACACAAAGAGACAGAAAAAATAATAAAAAGGAGACAAAAGGAGACACAAAGAGACAGAAAAAATAATAAATTAATTAATAAATAAACAGAGACAAAAGGAGACAGAAAAAATAATAAATAAAAAGAGACAGAAGGAGACAAAAGGAGACACAAAGAGACAGAAAAAATAATAAATAAATTAATAAATAAACAGAGACAAAAGGAGACACAAAGAGACAGAAAAAATAATAAAAAGGAGGCAAAAGGAGACACAAAGAGACAAAAAAAATAATTAATTAATAAATAAAAAGAGACAAAAGGAGACAGAAAAAATAATAAATAAAAAGAGACAGAAGGAGACAAAAGGGGACACAAGGAGACAGAAAAAAAAAGAAAAAATAATAAATAAAAAGAGACAAAAGGAGACACAAAGAGACATGATAAATAATAAAAAAACATTAAATAAAAGGAGACAAAAGGAGACAAAAGGAGACAGAAAAGGAGACAGAAGAGGAGACAGAAAAAGAGACGGAAGGAGACAGAAAAGGAAACAAAAAGAGAGACAAAAGGAGACAGAAAAGGAGACAAAAAGAGAGACAAAAGGAGACAGCAGGAGACAAAAAGAGAGACAAAAGGAGACAAAAGGAGACAAAAAGAGAGGCAAAAGGAGACAAAACGAGAGACAAAAGGAAACAGAAAAGGAAACAGAAAAGGAGACAGAAAAGGAGACAGAAAAGGAGACAAAAAAGGAGACAAAAAATAAATAAAAGGAGACAAAAGAAGAGACAAAAGGAGACAAAGAGAGACAAAAGGAGACAAAAAAAAAAAAATATATATATATATATAGGTGTCTCCTTTTGTGTGTATAGCTTATTTTACCGTCTGTATTTTATTTTCTTGATTATAAACATTTTTATATTTTTTTATTTTTTTATTTTTATCGAGCTGCATGCATGTGTCTTTGGCTATATTAATAATATATTTTATTTTGTCTTTTTGTTGTTTTTTTTTATTTTCTTCTATTTCTTTTTCTTTTGCTGCTGCAGCAGCAGCAGCAACAAAGTATCTTCGTTCTGCTGCTGTCAACCTACTAATATAATTTATTACTTTCAGCAGCTCTTTGAGGCTTCCTGGTGCTGCTGTGGTCCCCGCTGCTGCTGCTGCTGCTGCTGCTGCTGCTGTTGCTGTTGCTGCTTCTGTTGTTGCTGCTGCTGCATCTGTTCCTCCCGCTTCAGCAGCAGCAGCAGCAGCAGCTGCAGCTGCTGCTGCTGCTGCTGCATCTACTTCTCCCCCTTCTCCTCCTGCTGCTGTTGCTGCTTCTGCTGCTGCTGCTGCTNTGCTGCTGCTGCATCTACTTCTCCCCCTTCTCCTCCTGCTGCTGTTGCTGCTTCTGCTGCTGCTGCTGCTGCTGCTGCTGCTGCTGCTGCTGCTGGGGGAGAACCAAGGAGAACGCATGCATCGCTAGTGTAGAAGTGTTTGAGCTGCTGTATAACATCGAGGAGTTGCTGCTGCTGCTGCTGCTTTTGCTGCAGCAGCAGCTGCAGCTGTTGTATATGTTTGTTGGTTTGTTCTTCTTTTTCTTTTTGTTTTTTTTGTATATCTTCATTTATTTCTTGTACTTTATAAATAGCAGCAGCAAATGCTGCTTCTCTGTCTTTCTCTGCCTGCTGCAGCAGCAACCGGATGCTACCTGTCTCCTCTCTTCTTTCTTTTTCTGTCTCCTCAAGCAGATGTATTGATGCTTTTAGTGTAGCTAGGCTCTCAGAAATAGCCAAAGCTAGACTTTGCTGCTGCTGCTGCTGCTGCTGCTGCTGCTGCTGCGGCAGCTCCAGCAGCTTCACTGCATCAGCCAAAGAAGCACCCTTTGTTAATCCATCTAATAGCCCATGTACTTCTTGCTGCTCTTGCTGCTGTTGCTGCTGCTGCTGCTGCTGCTGCTGCTGCTGCTGTTGCTGGGGTTGGGGTTGGTGTTGTTGCTGC